CAATTTGAAAATATACATTTGTGCCTCAAGTTGAAAACTTTGTTTTTAACTTCTGTTAAAAAAAATAGGGTACTGGGCCGAGCCCGTGGCGCACTCGAGAGAGTGCGGCGCTGGGAGCACAGCAGCGCTCCTGCCGCGGGTTTGGATCCTATATAGGGATGGCCGGTGCGCTCACAGCACTCACTGGCTGAGCGCGGTGCGGCCGGTCTCAAAAACAACAACAACAAAAAAAAAAAAAATTGGGTACTAAGTTAAGTTAAATGTTCCATTTGGCTGTTCCCCCCCTCCCCCATTTAAATTGAGATCCTAACTTGCAAAATGTTAAATAAATAGATAAATAAGTCATCAGATCTTTGATGCTAATTTACCTCGAATTTGTATTTTTTTCTGTTAATTTATCCCACATTTCTTGCTATTTTTATGACTGGAGGAAGAAACTTGCCGTAGATTGGGTGGAATAAATCAATTCTTTGTTTTCATGTCTTGGGTAAGGTAGCTGCACAACTGGCTTGGTAATTTCACTTTTTTAACAAAGCTGGTGCTGGCTAATGGTGGTTGCTCTCTGTTTAGTGACTTCAGATGGAAGCCATAAAGCTTGGGGCAGGAGCACGGTCTCTCGACATGAGGAATTTGAGGATGTAAAAAGGAACTTCAAGAAAAAAGGCTGTACTTGGGGACCAAATTCCATCCAAATGAAAGAAAGAACTGATTGCAAAGAAAGGTACGGGTGTACGGTGTGGCGGTATCCGACGTGTAATGTGACACATAGCAGTGCCTGTTTTAATATCGCACCAGCCAGACTGAACTTTCAAAAAACGAGAAAATTAGTACAGAGATATCTGAATATTAATTTATGCTAGATGAGTTTATTTTACTACCTTAATTATTCAAGCAATTAAAAATATTCTCTGATATTTTTTTGTCTCATTTTTAAGTTTTATTTGTACGTTGTTCATTCTTTATAAAGTACAAATATGTTCTTGCTATTTTAAAAATATTGTTGGCACGTATCCACCAAAACCTAATTTGTGCATCGTGCAGTTCCATTATATGAAAACAAACACCTTTCTCTTGCAGGATAAGACCTCTCTCAGATGGCAACAGTCCTTGGTCAACTCTCTTAATAAAAAGTCAGAAAACCATGCCCTTGGCTTCATTGTTTGTGGACCAACAAGGTAAATGGGTTTTAGGAAGTAGAATTTGTTTGAGAAAGACTTAGCATCTGAGTGCTTTGCATCTTTGCTTTAATAGTGTCATGTGGTCCTTAAAGCAGCAGGGAAGGTCAGCAAATGTTAGCATTCCTTACAGCTCAAAAGCTATTTTCCATCAAGTTTTTATGGCAGAAAGTAACTGGGCTCCCACATGTTTTTTTTTTTTTTTGTCTTTTTCCGTGTCCGGCAACGGATCGCAACCCTCAGTGT